CACATTGATTGTCTGTGTCCACTGTGCCATACTCGGAGTCGTTTGCGCCAGGCGTGAGTTTCTCAATTTACTCAATCGAGCTGTTTAGTTCCGCCTGGAACTGTCCATTAATGCAATGGACATTTCTAAACTTCATACATTTTTGTACTAACTATTAACACTGTATCATATCTGAGGAATTACATATGTATACTATATATTCAAAACTTAAACTCCACTTTATAGTATCAGCAAGAAAAAATAATGTCATGAAAACCTATACTTGTCAAAATCATGTGCAAGCCCAGGCTTATTGGCTTACATGGTAGCTACACGCCTGACATGCATCATAACCGTTAGCTTTAAGACAATGCTCAGATACGATGGCAGGGTTTAAGTTGTAAAGTTGATTGACGGCCGGCACAGTTACTTTTGTGTGGTTCTTAAATAAATAGAACAACTTATATACATTGTATATACTATCTAACTATGACCTTCAGTGGTATCCAACTTTAAAATGGCAGTCATAGTTATATGACCTCAACAAAAGGACAATGGCGTTCATAGCATTTTCTGACTGCCATTGATTCAGCTGACCATGGCTATGTTGTATGCTAAAGTAATTATTGTGCTTGAGATGTGAACAGTAGATATTTTAGTGAGGGTGCAGGGATACATTTCTACCTTTTTAATTTAAATTACTACTACTACGTATGCGTAAATAATTAACTGTATTTGATGGTGTTTCGACACTCAGTAAAAGTCATGTTATATGAGAAACATATCATTTCTCTTAATTAATAAGGACTTAGGGTCTCTGAGGTCAAATACTTGGTACAATGTTACACTTGTTTTTACTGAAAACTATCCAAAACATTTTAAGGTTCAGCAAAATATCACAGAAATATAAGGTGTTCAACAGCAGACACATATCAGCCTAATGACTAACTCCAGGATGTTGCTTCGTTGTGCTGTAATTTCCCACAGATGGCACTTTAACACTCATCAGAACGTAAATTTGACATCGAGCGGGTTCTGTACGATACGTTGGTGTATTTCTATAAACAGTGGGATGTACATGACAAAGTCCATGAAATCTATGTAGCCACTTCCCTCCCGGTTAAACTTGCTCAGTACCTGTTAAGACAAATAAAGAGATGAATAAGTATGTACATGTTGTTTATTACAAAAAGAAAAAAATGAACTTTAATACTGGCATTATGATTGATAAGTCCAACACTTTCAGTATTATTTTTTGTGATAACTGATTAGGTGGTTGGATGGCAGAGTAGATAGGGCCCTCGCCTTTCAACAAGAGGTTTGATGCCCCGATCAGAACTTCTTTCTTGTGAAAAGGTATGGTATGGGGTCTGACCAAGTGAGTTTTCTCCAAGAACTCTGGTTTCCTTCCACATTAAGCACTCCACTCTTCCGTCAGGCTCCAACAATAGGGATTTATATAATTTATTCATGCAAGGTTAAACTTATTACCGACTCGGTTTACTTACAACTTTAATATGCTCTGGTGTCAGTCCTCCGGCTGTCAGTTCCACTGCCAAGTTTGATGCTGTTGCGTTTCCTCTAGGCGTGGGTTCTCCGTCGCAGATCAGTGCAAACAAATCCTACAGCAGAACAGACTCTTGTCAATATTACATAACAAAGATATAGTCATTGGATACCATTTACTTCGTAGTGTTAACATTTAACAGTAATTAATCTTCAGAATCTGGTATAGCCTAACACTCCAACCCCTCTGAACAGTGCTGAAGTTGAGAGATGACATGGTTCCATTTTTGACACAGGAATATTTGTGGTCATCTATTTATATTAATATTGAACTTGACTTGGATCTTTGAACTTGAAAAGAAAATTTCAAACAATCAATTTTGGTAAGGAAATAGTGTATGGAGTTTGATTGTTATTGGCTCGGGTGATTAATTGTGTAGAGACCAATCTTCCATAATGTTTTAATTCATTCACTCCTGAAATTGGAAGAGTTCAAATGTGTCTTCAGAGGTGAAAGAGTTAATTGGCAAACAGAACTCGGAAGTTATTGAGCAGAGGGGGGAGGGGGTAATATTTATTCATTTATGATAAAATGTTTAGGTTCTAATACATATAATAATACACATCATAGCCATTACTACAAGGATATGTATATGGTCCAGAAAGACTTGTTTAAAAGCTCTCATGTTTGGCAAGATCACATTAAGAAGTTTAAAATAAACAGATATACTTCTGTAAATGGACTGACCTTTGACCTGTTCATCTTATGATCCAGAGCATGATAGTCCATCTTGTTGATCAGCTTCCGGACCACGGGGCTGCAGATGGAGGAGAGAATAATAAACAATAATAAAACATTGTTGTATAAAGTATGCCTTTAACTAGTCAACGTGCTGATAAAAATGTTACAAGATATAAACAATATCGCATGTGGTTATCAGTTAATATTTTTGTGATTTTTTTTCTTGAAAAATTCCGAAGGAGAGTTAATGGCATATTACATCCTCTGGTGAATAGATATTAGGACACACCTGGAAGGCATATTATTGTTTTCATTTATTTAGTATTTTTGACAAAAGATAGTTTTGCAAAGTTTCAAAAACAAATTTCTGTGCAAGATCAATTGATTAAGACTAAAATTAAAATTTCCCATCATATAACACATATAGCACAATCAAGTATCTATGCGTGGTGTTTCAATGACTAGTTAGGTACATACTCTGTAACCTTCATCAGAGAGATGATCCACTGAGTACATATCGAACTAGTCATGGAAACGTCACACATAAACACTTACTGGTTGTGTTGTATGAACCTTTCTTCATTCCATACTTACCAACCTAAATAAAATATTAGGACAGATAGTTAATATTTTGATTTCTAAATATTTGAATATAATCTGAAATATATTGATAAAACATTTGTCACTCTCCATCCCAATATTTCGGCCTCCTGCCATTCTTCAAGAGTGGAAGTCAACGATGGATTCAAGTTACGTTCTTCTTGCCGAAATATTGGGACTGAGAGTGACAATTGTTGATCTTTTTCATAGAGTCATTTAAGGTATCATTTTTCTAGTCTAATATATCCAATATGTTTTATTTTCACCAATAATACATCGGACTGATCTTTGTAAAATTAAATTTTCACTTACTCCATCTGTGTGACTTTTTCTGATAATGCCGCTACGATACTGAACAACTGAAAATTTAATTTTCTCCTACCAGGTAAATTGAGCACCTGGTGAGAAAAAAAGTGAAAATTTAATATTTATAATGATACATTTAATCGTTTTCATTTCAATCATATTTTTTTCTGACAACATTTTTCTAATTCAGCATTACTTATTATGAACTACAGTCATGCCTGGAAATACTGTCCCACATGTCATTTTAGCCCTCACTTTAACCACCAACATTATTATTATTAATTTCAATGCCCCCTTTTCTATTTTTCTTAAGAATCACTTGTGTTTCTCTCAATTAATCTCCAAACCCCTTTAAAGCACCAAAATTGTTTGCGACAAAAAGTGGCAGTATAACAAGGTTTTACTGTATCTTTTATAATGACATTTTTCCATACATTGCGAAGCAAAACATTTTGTTTGCCTCAAAATCCAATTTTTGTCTACAGGCTTTTTTTCGACTCAACTTTTCTTGAAACTTTGTTATTAATGAATTTTCGTGGTTTAAGTTCGAAAGGGATATATTTGTTAGAAATGGTGTGTGCCAGAAAAGGCCAGAAACAAGAAAAAACATAGAAATCAACTGCATTACTAAAATTTGTGAAACACAAGAGCCAGTCATACAATACTTGTACTTACAGCCAGTCATACAATACTTGTACTAACAGCAAGTCATACAATACTTGTACTTACAGCCAGTCATACAATACTTGTATTTACAGCCAGTCATACAATACTTGTATTTACAGCCAGTCATACAATACTTGTATTTACAGCCAGTCATACAATACTTGTACTTACAGCCAGTCATTCAATACTTGTATTTACAGCCAGTCATACAATACTTGTATTTATAGCCAGTCATACAATACTTGTATTTACAGCCAGTCATACAATACTTGTACTTAAAGCCAGTCATACAATACTTGTACTTACATGAAATAAGTATTCAAACTCCTTTGTTGAAAGGAGATTATTATTGATGATCTGGAGGGAGCCTTCCAGCTCGTCCACATTCATCTCAACATCCTGAAACAAACAGCAAAATGTCAAATCTGATTTAAAATTTGTTTAATTTCAATTTATTTTGAATGATATTTAGCAAGTTATCTTGCGAAACTGAAGGCTGTATTCCTGAAACAATTCTCATGCTAAAGCATGGATATTGTCCTCAAACTTACTTTCTCATATTAACCCATGTACGTGTTTACCATGTTACAATGAAAATGTCCAAATGGAAAACATTGACAAGAGGCCCAAGGGCCTTAGCGGTCACCTGAGTTATATCATAGATACTGGTAGCTTTATTTTATTGTTTAGATGTGATGTGGAAATCAGCATGTAAACTAAGTGAAATACAATACTTGTCATGTCATCAATGGATAAGAATTTGAAAATATTGGTAAATGTTCCCTTTGGGGCCCCGCTCTAGCCCCTGGGGATGGGGCAGGAATCCTAATTTTACAAAGTAAAACTCTCATTTACCCAAGATGATTCTGACTAAGTTTGAGCAATTTTCTGCTGAAAAT